GAGAGAGAAAAAGAAAAAGAAAAAGAAAAAGAAAAAGAAAAAGAAAAAGAAAAAGAAAAAGAAAAAGAAAAAGAAAAAGAAAAAGAAAAAGAAAATGAAAGGAAGGAAGGAAGGAAGGAAGGAAGGAAGGAAGGAAGGAAGGGATCACTTCTTACCCAAGAGCGTAGCTAAAAAAGACAGTAAGAATACCTGGCAAGGAAGCAGAGAAATTGGACCCTGACAGAAATATAAAATGATATGAATAGTTTCTCAAACAGTTAAACAGTGCTATAATATGACCTAGCAATTCCACTCCTAAGTTTCTACTGAAGAGAAATGAAAATACATACTCACACTAAAAGTTATATATGAATATTCACAGTAACCCAAAAGTGGAAATAATCCAAAAATTTATCAACAGAATGGAAAAATAAAACATAATATAATGATACAATAAAACATTCAGCCATAAGAAGAAATGAGGTACTAGTGGATGAAATGTGAAAACATTATGCTAAATTTTAAAAAGCTAGTCACAAAGGATCACTTATTATACAGTCTCATTTGCAGGAAATGTCCAGAGTGTGCAAATGTACAGGAAAAAACAAAAGTGGATTAGAGGTGGCCTAGACTGAGGAGGGAGACCTGGGGGCATTCAAGTGTGGTGATTAAGAGGTATGGGTCCGGGGATGTAGCTCAGCAGTGTAAGTGCTTGCCTGGCAGGCCTGAGGTTATGAGTTCGATTCCCAGTACCAAAAAAAAAAAAAAAAAGTAAAATTTTGGGCTGGGGATACCTCAATGGCACAAGCGCCTGCCTGGCAAGCACAAGGTCCTGAGTTCGATCCCCAGTACCGCAAAAAAAAAAAAAAAAAAGAGCTATGGTATGGAAGGTGGTAATACAATGTTCTAAAATTAATGGTGGAAATGGATACACAACTGTGACTACATTAAAAGACCCTGCACTGTACACTTTAAATGTGCAAAGTCTATGTGAACTGTATTTAAATACAGCTGTTAAAGAATACTTGGCCTCTCATTACAGAACCCCTGGTGAGTTATTTGCCTTCTCTCTGCCTCTGTTATACCTCAGGTAAAATGAGATCATGAATATTACCTACCTCAGAGGCCAGAGATATAGTGCAGTGGAACAAGCACCTTCCTGGCAAGCACAAGGTTCTAAGTTTGATTCCTGCCTACACACACAAAAAAAAATTACCTTCAAAAAGTTTGGGGTGAAAAACAAGGTACTATATAGCAAAATACTTAGAATGGAGCCTGAACATATGAAGTACTCAATAAATAACCCCATGAACTAGGTGTTTTGTTATTCACTGTACTATAGCCCAGAGAGGTTCGGTTACTTGTTCAATGCCACACAGCTAGACACGGGGGGGGGGGGGGGGCATTAAGGACCTATTTTATAGTTATTGTGAGAAACAGGAATTGATCTGTATAATTCTTGGTATACAATACTTAATAAATCTTAACATTAGCTATGAGTAGGACAATGATAATCCATTACAAATTTTGTGATTTTTAAAAGACAACTTTTCAAGATGTTTTCTGCCTCCTACAACTCCAAGGAACCTATTACCAGGGACTCAAAAGTATCATACTCAATTTAAAACACACACACACACACACACACACACACATACACACACACACATTTAAAAAACATATGGTAGGGCTGGGGTCACACAGCACCTGCATGGGAAGTGCAAGGTCCTGAGTTCAATTCCCAGCACCAAAAAAAAAAAAAAAAAAAA